GTATAGTTAAAGCGACTCTGTTAGCACACCCTGACCCACGAGCACGCTTAGCCATCGTCACCGATGCCTCCGACAGTGCTATAGGCGCAGTGCTGCAGCAGAAATCTGGTTCAGAATGGATTCCTCTAGGATTTTTATCAAAAAAACTGAACAACGCTCAACGTAAATACAGCCCCTACGATAGAGAGTTGCTAGCGATATACGAGAGCATAAAATAGTTTAGGTATATGGTCGAACTTAAGCCATTCACTGTGTTTACCGATCATAAACCCATCATCTCCGCCTTAAAGAAAAATTCGGACAGCGGCTCACCTAGGCAATTTCGATACCTAGATTATATCGCCCAATTTACAACCGACATTCGCTACATTTCAGGAGAGAATAACGTCGTTGCAGATGCCTTATCTCGAGTAGATATCATAAGCAGAGCAGTCAACTTAGAGGATGTATGTGCAGCACAGGAGACAGACAACGAACTTCCGCATCTTCGCCATCATACATCTTTGAAGCTTAAGCAGTTAGACCTATCTGGCACTGGAATGAAACTCTACTATGATGTATCAGGTATGCCCCCACGGTTATACTTACCGAAAACGTTACGACGCCAAGCCTTCGATACGATTCATAGCCTGAGACACCTAAGTGCGAGAGTCATGATTAAGCTGATAACAGCAAGATACGTATGGTCTAACATTTGCAAAGACTGTCAACAATGGGCACGTACCTGTGTTGATTGCCAACTCTCAAAGGTAGCACGGCATACACGATCGCCAGTACATGCTTTTGCTTCACCAACTAGCAGATTCGCTCACGTGCATGTGGATCTTATCGGACCTCTGCATATCTCCAAAGGATATCAGTATTGTTTAACCGTTGTTGACCGGTTTACACGATGGCCTGAAGTGATGCCACTCGAAGACATAAAAGCTGAAACCGTAGCCAATGCATTCGTCAGAGGATTGATTTATATATATTGGTTGCCCGCTAAAAATAACTACGGATAGAGGCAGGCAATTTGAGTGTTACCTTTTTAAAGAGCTTTCCAAATTAACAGGCGCACATCACATCACCCCCCTGCTCAGACCGGAAGTTGATAGTGCAGCCTCTTTGCTGACGAATGTACAAGTGCCAGGAGATTGCCTTGTAGTCTGTGGTGAGTCGAGAAGAAGGCTAGTAATCTGTGAGAGAGCCATGAAGCAGAGGCGAGCAGTAAGGCTCAGAGACGTGCCGAACACTGTATGGCGCAGAGAGTAGCTTGAAGGAACAGGAAGCATTATTACTCCAGTGCTGCAATGAACCTTGTGAAGCTAGATAGCTTGCAGGATATGAAGACTGCAGACGATATCTGCTCGGGAGCGAATGGGTGGGGTATTTTATGACGATGATGAAGCTTGAAGTTTCCGAAGGTTGTTGGTTGCGAGTTCAGATCACGTCGGGGTCACCACTGTGGCCGTGGTAGGATAAGAGGAGATCTCCCGCCGGGCAAGGTGTTTTGCCCGGGGAGCGGCCAACACTCCGTGTGATAGTTCGGAGATGTTCTATATATACTGTTTATGATTCGAAATTTTGATAGCGTGATTTAGGCTTCAGCGTGTTTTGTTTGCGGCGCGACGACAGCGCCGCCACATATCTATAACCTTTTCTAATATCTTAAGGAGAAAGGAAGATAGGCTTATAGGTCTAAAGGACCTTCTCCAAAGGAAAGGGTCTTTGGTAAAGCGTAGTCCTTTCTACCAGTCTTAGGTATAAATAGAACTTTGACAATTGTCCATCGTTCTGGAATATATCCTCATGCAAAACTTGCTCTGGAGATTATCACCAGATAGAGAAGAAGGATGTCGATAACCCTCTTTAGTTGGATGGGATTATTACGTCCTCCCCGCTTGTTTTAAAAAGTTGAAGTAGAATAAAATCGTGCCGATTTTACCTAAGGACGACAGGGAGGGTGTCTGTATCCAAAGTAAACGCCAGCAGGAGATGGACCAGAGACGATTTGGACGTCGGAGGGCCAGCCGCCGGCCACGGAGGCCGGTACGTCAGCAGCTTCTATATCTGCAGCACCTGACTTAGCTATAGGAACAGGCCCGTCGATTGGAAGATCAGCAGATGAACAGGCCCGCCGACATGAGGAACAGGCCCGTCGTTTGGAAGCGCAGCTGTGGGGTGGACAGGAGGAACAGGCCCGTCCGTTGGAAGAGCAGATACTCCTCATGAAGGACCTTCACGCTGCCTTCGGGAAAGAGATAAGGGAGGTGAAGGATAGGGTTGCTCAACATGACAACCGTTTGTCGGAAGCTGAAACCCGAATCGAGCAAGTGAACAAAAAGGACTAATGGTGGTTAATATAGCACATAGCGCCATATTATAGCGCGCTATCTCTTCACAACACATAGCGCGTGTTATGTAAGTAGTCGCCATGGCGCTATTGCGCTATGGCCCTATGGCGTTATTAAGTATTAATATCTAGCGACAATTAGTTCTAGCAGCAGCGCTATTAGGAGAGGACGTGTGACGCAAATTTGATCTCGTAGAGCGCTATTCATCGCGCGCGTCCTAATTTAGTGTTAGACGTTGTTTAGTTAGTGTATACTGTATATTTATAAATGATCAAAGGACACAGCTGTGATAAAAGAAACCTAACTAATGTTTTTTAAAATGTAAATAAAATATAGATACAAAAGTGTATATAATAGTGTATGTAAATAATTGATTTTTATAAATACAATAAATAAACTTTTAAATACACCTTTATTTGATTTTCAATTTATATTAAGTTTATTTATTAAATTCCTGTCTACCATTTGACATTTCAATTGTGTGAACATAGCCGCAAGTGTATTTCAGTCGGATAAATTATGTTATTTGGATTCAAAAATAAATAAATCCTATTTTAAAAAGTACATGACTTAAAAATATTTTTAGGATTATTGAAAGTAGTAAGCTTGAAAAGTATGAAAAAGCGCGCATTGGTTTTTCTTTACCGCTTTATTTTATTTTAGTATAAAATGCGACTTATTACGAAATAATGTTCTTATATAGCACGCGATCTATCCAATGAACGATATGTAATTTTACATGCTAAGAGATATAACGTGCTGCAAAACTTAACGCGCTTACCGGCCTCCTACACGCTTTCTAATAAATAGCGCGCTATAACATAGCGTATTTAATAGCGCGCTAGAAATTTATAGTTTATAGTCTGTGGCGTGCTATTGATTTATAGTCGTTTTGAACAACTTTATTAAGGACGCCTTGGCCCATGCACTGGAGGTGGAAGCCATGCGGCAGGATTATCGTTTCTATCCCGTCAGGCAGGTTGCAGCAGCTACAGTTCGCGACTGAAATAAAGGATACAGCCCTAGGTGCTATGACTGTGGGGAAATAGGCCATCTTCGATCCAGCTGCCCTAAGCGAACTGTAGAAAGGGAAGGTGATCATACTCGAGAGGGTGGTGCGGCTAACACCACCACCCAGTAGCAGGGAAACGAGTAAAATCCAGGACTACGGGGCGGGTTCTAGCTGATATTAAAAGAGCCCCCAAGGATTTTGATCTCATAAACCCATGATGGGAACAGCCTAATCATCAAGAGCGAGATCAATGGAATGCCGTATAAACGTATGACCATAGACGCTGGAGCCTCTCGCACGGTCAGTTCCCGACTTATAAGTCTGTTCCTTGGGGACTCCGCATACAACTAAGAACGCATTAATTTGGTAACAGCCACCGGTCAGCGCATACCCGTCCGTGGAGAGAAGAAGATGGAGTTGAAGCTAGGCAACATGATCTACCTGCATAATGTCATCGTAGCTGATATAATGGACGACTGCATCCTGGGCTTAGACTTTATGAGGACGAATTGTTGTGAGATCTACGTTAAGCAAAGTGTTTTGAAATGTGGACAGGAATGTTTACAGCCTTAAAAAGATAGTTCTTCCGCCGAGATTAGAAATGATTGTACCGGTTAGTCTTCCTGGGAATCCTAGGCAAGGTCATCGTTGTGTACTCGTGGAAAGGGTAGACAATGGCCTTCAATGGAAAGTAGCGTGAACCTTGGTCAGAACCACTGACATCTCAGAAGTACGTGTGCTGAACCTTTGTGACCAGGAACAGATTATGGAAAAAGGCACACTGGTGGAAGTTGATTGGTTGCCTCGGTGCCAATATCTATCGACTGGGACTCCCAGCAAGGATGCACAAACGAGACCGTGCGGCATACATGAGGTATTGTTCAGTTTTTAAGACTCTCTCTATTTTAGTAATTGCTTAGAGGCTTACAAATAATACTCTTAGTAGTCTGTGCATACAACCCCAAACTAATAAGAAGTACTAGCGTACCTGTAGACAGAGAAATCAATAGACAGCGTGATACATTTTGTTTCATTCACACAAGGACGCATATTTCATATCAGCACTTGTAAGACACATAGCTACTATGTATATTGTTTTTCTTTTTCCGTACGACCTAAGAAGACGATTTTATTTAGTGGCAGAGTTATTTGTTCTAGAATTTATTTGCAAATCATTGGACGTTTTAAGCTAGACAATTATTTGATTTTATATCTTATTATGGTGTCATGCAATTTTATGAGCTGTAAAATGAACAATGCTGAAAAAATTGAAGGCATTACATTTCACGCGTAGGTAAACTTATTTCATGAATATGTATTTCAATAACTTTCTGAATCACGATTTAAATGGTAGTATTAACTAAACTGATGTGTACGGTCGTCTTTTCTTTAAATTATAATGATATCATTATTATTAACGTAGTTATGGTCTCAAACCTATATTGCCAGCTGAAGTTCATAATTACCCGAGGTAAAAACCTCTCACTTACAATTACGGCGAGAATACCTAAATTAATCTTGATTTTTTTATTTGTTAGTTTCTCAATTGATTCGGAAATAAAAAGAAAATTGGTAAGAAGAATTTGGAGCCTACTAAATACTCTCGACTTTGCTCCAGGAATTTATTAGTCCAAAAAAGGACAAGAACTGAATTGTTTCGTAATGCTGTCCCAACAATTTATACAGAGGTTTGTGTGCTTAAATATGGTCGTATTTTAAATCTTCTAACTTCTAACTGTTTTATATAGTAGATAAGCTTGCTTTTGACTAGAATTTAATTAAAGTATGGAAGTTGTAATATGATGGGATTAGGATAGGATAAAAATAGATGTAAAAAACATCATTTCTTTTACACTGAATGTATACAAGAAAATTGAAAATTTAACTTTTTCAGGAGGATGTTACAAACATTGAAGGACCTGCGCGTGATGATTTAGTGATAGAACAACCAAATACGGGGCATCTTTAATATTCAGTGAATTGCTAACTAAACACTTGTACGAGTGACAAAAATTGATATAAAAGTTATAGTTATCATGTAATGACATACTGTTATATTCTTTTATTGAGTGCTAAATAATATTGAGAATATGTAATATTTTCCAGGAGGAAGTTAAAATGACCGAAAATGGACATCATGTTGATGATGTAGAAAGTTATGGAACTACCAAGCACTTTTAATACTTGAGTTTTTCAAAAGAAGTTGTATTGTGGCAGTTACGAAAACTAGTCAGTACCTAGCTATCATAAAAGTGAGCTAAGGTATTAAGCTATTAAACTTTATACAGAGGTTTGTGTGCTTAAATATGGTCGTATTTTAAATCTTCTAACTGTGTTTTATAAAGTAGATAGGCTTGCTTTTGGTCAGAACTTAATTAAAGTATGGAAGTTATAATATGATGGATTAGGATAGGATAAAAATAAATGTAAAAAACATCATTTCTTTTACACTGAATGTATACAAGAAAATTGAAAATTTAACTTTTTCAGGAGGATGTTACAAACATTGAAGGACCTGCGCGTGATGATTTAGTGATAGAACAACCAAATACGGTGCATCTTTAATATTCAGTGAATTGCTAACTAAACACTTGTACGAGTGACAAGAATTGATATAAAAGTTATAGTTATCATATAATGACATACTGTTATATTCTTTTATTGAGTGCTAAATAATATTGAGAATATGTAATATTTTCCAGGAGGAAGTTAAAATGACCGAAAATGGGCATCATGTTGATAATGTAGAAAGTTATGGAACTACCAATCACTTTTACTACTTGAGTTTTTCAAAAGAAGTTGTATTGTGGCAGTTACGAAAACTAGTCAGTACCTAGCTATCCTACAAGTGGGCTAAGGTATTAAGCAATTAGGAACTGAACAGTAGCGTCTAGTATCTTTACCCATAAGTTTGTAAATTTAAAAGAATTAGCTTACATTAGTGCACTGCATTATTTGTCATTGTTTTTGTGAGCCATTAGTTTCCTTGTTTACATTCTGTATTTCGCTTTCCTGAATATGGTATAGGTGAGACTCTTCTTCTGCTAAGGAGTCCGTCTGGGTGGGTATCACCTTTTCATCTCTTTCTACTCAAATGGTAGTGCTTGCTTTTCTATATTCTGGTTTAAAGAGTACATAGAGCGATTTATATGTGGCAGAGCCATGCTGCAGTTATATTAGTAGTATAGTTGTAGCACGAATGGGTCGGCTCGACCGGGGAAGGACCACGCTCTCACAGAATACCAGCGTAAAATTGTTTCGTATGGTGAGCGTAGAGAACCGGAGACCTAACATTACGAACACGAATTGAAAATCTATTGTTTGCGATCAATAACAGCCCCTAAATGGTGAAATGTATTAAAAATTTTTAATTTCTCTTTTAGCTACTGGGTACACCCAGAAGTCTCACCAAGAGATTGATACAGCAGCAAAATCTGTTCGAGAAGAGGTTGAGAATGGAGTGCGCTCTTCGTCAGAAAAAAAGGCATCTTATATTAAAGGTGGCAAATATGGAACAAATCCTTGAAGAGTTGAGGGCCAAAGCTCTTGTTAACGAAGAACGAAGTTGTGAACGAAACTATCCAGCTTGGAGACTTAACTCGATCGATCCCTTAAAAAAAATTTCTTTAAAAGAATCGTAAATGCCTCAGAACCGCGGAAATATTCACCTTCACTGGGTAAATTTGCATTTTATCTCTATTTTATGAGTCCTCGAGCATATAAATATCTGAGACAGCACTTTAAAGCATGTTTACCACATCCCAAAACACTATGTTCTTGGTGTAAATGTGTTGATGGTGACCCTGGATTCACCGTAACTTGCCAGATTTCCGATCGTTTGATGAAATAGTTCAAGATACGTTTCCTCGCATTAATAGCGATAATGATTATTCGCCGGATCACACAAGATTAACTTTGTATACCAAAGAAATAATAAAATACATATCAGGTTTTGTTGTAAGAAAATTGACAAAATGCTTTATGTGCGAAGATTGCTTGCTTGCATTATTTGCTAATAATAAATACGACAGTTTTATTTTGAAAAAAGATAAGGCAGGTCTTATTTATGACATAATTAATATATGTAATATTTGTGAAAAAATATTCCGTCCTAGTTATGCAAGTGGCTTAGGTTTTTTTTTTACGGAGAAACATATTTGACTTAAATTAATTAACAGTTGTCTTGAAAACTACTTGAAAACGACCATTTTTTCGAGAGATCATTTTAATGAGTCATCTTATATTGATAATCATAGAATACTCCTTATAAAAGCTGTCGCTTTAAGATATTTTGAAATAAGAAACACTATGAAACCAAAAAAATTTGCGAGCTCATCGAAAAAATTTAGAATATTCGTACTAAATTAGTTTTATTTTAAGGAAAATATTAATTAAATTGGAATTACCAATAGCTATAAGTGTAATTATTATGATTTTCCTAATAAAGTTGTATGTTATAATATTTGTTATTAATGTTACCTATTTGTTTCATTTTCTTTAATTATCCTATCCTATTAATATGTGAATAAAGTGGCCTAGAATTACCGAAGTATGCTTCACACACTAAATCTCCCTACTTTTGGGTAATATTGCCAAAGTGATAGCACTGTCGTGGGAGAATGATAGGCAAAATAGCGGTTACGGGACTCCAGCCCGATTGGATTCTCTGTCTACGAGCGTAGCTTACTGTCCACGGTAGCTTACAATTCCTGTATATATATTTATTATACTCTTTGGCTTACAACTCTCTATGATTATATTATATGTAGGTATATATGATTATATGGTTCATAAAAGATAGCTTGATCTCTGCGACAGCTATCAGTAAAAATCACGCCTATGAAGTATGAAGTCCTGATGTACGATACTTTCCTCTATGAGTCCTGAATTTCTTAGTAGTACAGACAGTACCTGTCAATGCCATACTTTATGGGCATGCACTAATCAGGTCGTAGATAGAGAAACCTATAGACAAATTGACGCCTTCTTTCGCATTCGCACACGAAAAAGATAGATTTATGCATACGTCTTGCATAGAAATGAGATAGAGCGGTATGATTGTTTGTCCCTTTCTCCGTGCCGGTTTTTTTCTTTAGCAAACTCTACATTTTACTAAACAACTTTCACAGCGTAGCGATTTAAGGAGTTTACAAGTTGGTTTAAGAGAAAAAAAAGTGTTTTGTGAGCAAAAGTGATTGGTGAATCTTGTTCAGTTCAGTTCTTAGAACAATTAAAATTTTTATCTAAATGTGTTTAAAAGTCATAAAGATTATTGTATGACCTAAAAATTCGTTATCGTACTTTCTTACTCGAGGCCACGCCGATCATTATTCTATAGGTTTCTCTGTCTACGAATTAGGTCGGCATGCCCATAAAGTATGACATTGACAGGTACTGTCTGTACTATTAAGAAATTCAGGACTTCATAGGTGTGATTTTACTGACAGCTGTCGCAGAGATCAAGCTATCTTTTATGAATATGTATATGAATAGTATATATACAGTAGTATCCTCTTAGTAGTATGTGCAGTAATTTATGGTCTGGGTATTTGCGGGAACTTGGCCGTCGACGGATTGTTGCTCCTGTTTTTTCGCTTAAATAATAGTTTGAAGCGGATTTTGATTTGTAAAAGTGATGCGATTTTGTGAATTAAGTGTCTGCGCGTGTGAAGTACTAGAGAAAACGACGAAACAAGTGCTTTGATGTTGATATAAACCTCAAGTTGTTTTGATCGTTGGGCGCCTTATGAACTTGAGTGGCTGTCGGCATTAACAGTCTACTGAGTTGAGCTGTCGTCAAAATCTCCCAAAAATTTTGCAATGTGATGCATCAGCATATTGTAAAGAAAAAATATATAAAAATGAAGATTCCAAAAGTAATGATAGACTCAGAAAAGCTAGAACCCAGAACCGTAAAGCCAAGTTAAATAAAATAAGAAAACCTATGGTCTGGAGTTTTGGCGGGAACTTGGCCGTCGACCGATTGTCGCTCCTGTTTTGTCACTTGAATAGCGGTTTGAAGTGGATTTTGATTCTTAAAAGTGATGCGATTTTGCGAATTAATATATAAAAAAGAAGATTCCAAAAGAAATGATAGGCTCAGAAGGGCTAGAACCTAGAGCCGTAAAGCCAATTAAATAAAAAATCTATGGTCTATGCTTACAATTACGACCAATGTTGCCAGATACACTGTAATTACAATAGATCTGCCGTATTTTTACGCCGTCAATATTACCGTCTAGATACCGTATTTTTATAAATCTCATCAAAAACATAATTGTGAAATGAAAGTCAAGTTCAATATTATATACGCCTTGGTTATTGACTCCAACGACATAAGAAGTGAGATCTAAATGTGTGCTAAGTTGTAAGTGTAAAAAAGTGATATTTCTAAAATATAAATATTACTGAGAGTGAAAATGCCTTTTTATTAGAATGCATTCCTTAGAGTTTCATCTGAGTACATATTATAAATGATCCGCAGACATCGCTTTTGCAGAATAAATGTTGACTGCACGTTTATAGAATTACCCCAGAAAATAATACCGTAAACTAATAGAGGGTATACCTGGCCGTATAAATAAAATGCAGCCCTTAAAAATATGCAGCCCTTGATACATCAACGGAGGTTGTTTCTGCTAATATGGATAATGCGTAACTGTAGCTAGAGATTTTTTTGTTTATTTTTTAAATATGAGATTTCCAATTTAAATGACAGTCTATGGTGACTCCAAGAAATTTAATGTTATTAACTATTTCTATTTGGGTGTCTTTATCTGCTATATTTAAATTTAAAGAATTTGTTTTGTAATTTCTGAATTGAATTATTTTAGTTTTTGTTAGATTAACGTTTAAATTAATTTGTTTAAGCCATTCAACTGTTATTTTTAAAGTTTTATTTATATTATTTTCAAAATTCATTTGAGTATCAGGTATAAAGATAGTTGCATCATCAGCGAACATAACACATCTATTGTCAGTGATATTTGGCAAGTCATTCACATAAATTAAGAATAACAAAGGGCCCAAAATACTTCCTTCTGGCAAGCCTAGTGTCATTTTAACTGGCTTGGACCGTACTTCTTCAAAAGTTTTGATCTATAGGTCAGTTAGATAAAAATGACGATTTTTGGACGTTGATATCTAAATAGCCATTTGAGATGTGTTTATGAAATTTGAAACACATATGTATCTCGCAAGTCTCAATATATGAAATTTGACACGTTCATGTGAAATAGTTTTTGAGTTATGAGGGGGTCAAAAGTGACTCCCAATGGTTCCTGTAATATTACACACGGTGCTGCTCGCCATTCTGCTTGAACTTGGCTTGACACGCTACCGCGTGACTAGATACAGTGTATAGAGAAGCAGTATTTGTTTTTAACAAAAAATATAATTTACTTTTGTAATGAACGCTACATAATGGCCTGTTTTGCCAACATAATATATCCAAAAAAACTAAGAAGAAAAACAGATAAAATTTTCACCACTAACCGTCTATTTGTTGTAGCTCGGCCAAAGCGGTTGGTGTCAAACCATCCCATACTATAAAATTTAAATGACAAGTCATATTATAACATTAAGATGTTTAGATGTTTAGTTAGTTTGAGGATATTATGTTTAAAATAAATGCATATCTGACGTATTTTATATCCTTTTTTATACGTCATTTAATTGCACTGTAAAATACATTTTTTTTAATATTATTTTTCTCGAAAACACCGTACTTTTAAGTGGAAAACACTGTATTTTCCGTAGACAGAGAAACCTATAGACGTTTTTTGACGTTTTCTTTCGCATGAAAGAAAACGTCAATTTGTCTATAAGTTTCTCTGTATATTAAAAGTACGGTGTTTTCGAGAAAAATAATATTTAAAAAAATGTATTTTACAGTCATCATAACAGTATCTTTTTCGTGTGTGAATGCTCGCACACGAAAAAGATAGATTTATGCATACGTCTTGCATAGAACCCTTAAAGATAAATATAAAATCAGGTGTCGGTTTAAAAAATATCGAAATCCTATGGATGAATTAGAGTTACAATTATTAAGTTCTCGTTGTGGACGAATGGCAACAGAGTGCTATAATCGTTACATTAGCAACTTGGAGAAGCAAATAGCCAGTAATTCAAAATCATTTTGGTCATTCATAAAAAACAAACGCGGAGGTACTAGTGCATACCCTATTTCAATGTCTGACGGAAATGTAACTGCTACAGATGGGGAACAAGTATGTGAACTATTCTCATCTCAATTTGCATCTGTATATACTGACGGGGTTGACAATGCTTCGAATAATTACGTTCTCTCTAATTATTTAAATTATTTAGAAAACTATAGTCTACATCTTTCGCCTATTGTTATCGATAACGAATCACTTTTAAAAAAAATTAAAAAGTATTGACTGTAATAAAGGTCCCGGCCCTGATGGGATCCCACCCGTTTTTATAGCGGCATGTGCTAAATATTTAGTATCACCCCTGTCATTAATTTACAATAAATCACTCTCAACAGGCATGTTCCCG